GGAGTTCAAAGGGACTGAAACCAGAGGTGGCTTGCAGAATTTCCCTATATGCAAATAATAGATAAGGCAATCGCATGTCTCAATACTTAGGATCTTCTGCTGCATATTTCTTTAACATATTATTTAGGGTCTGGTTCAATTGTTCTATAATTCTATCTATCTGAGGGTGTTAAGTACAAATTCTATAGAGTAATTCTTCATACAGACATGCGATTAGAAATTGATCCTTGATCCCTGTGACAGAGCCAACACAATTTTTTTTCTGCACCCATTTTGCTGGTTTAGAGTTATGCCTATCTACTTTCTTTGATGACCAAGATTATTATGTACCCATACTGGGGAGGGTCTAGGACAACTCACGGCAGGCACTTTGCCCCAGCCAACTACCCTGGCCAACTCATCATGGGACAGTTCAACATGGGATAACTCAAGAGAGGAATAAGTGAATTACAGCAGGCCTTGTCTTGATTTAGCTTTGAACCTTCTCAAGCTAGAAGTCCTCCAGGCTGGGGTGAGCTACAATTCTTCTTGTCCCTCTCTTGAGTTATCCTGCATCGAATTGTCCCACAGTGAGTTGTCCCACAGTGAATTAGCTGCGTCAACTTGTCCGGTGGCAAGTTGGCCGGGGCTAGTTGTCCCATTGTGCAATAGAGAAACTTATTACTAAATAGTAAGAGGAATCCTACATTATTCCAGTGATAAGACAGCATTCACAATATATCTCATGCCTAATAATAGCAAAACTCTTAAGGTATTAGCGTAAACTGAAGCTTTTAATTTTAACAGTATGGTACAGGAGTAAGGATTTGCTCCTACTGTATCATTTCATTTTATTAGGTTCATAAGACCAGTACTCCTGAATCAGTCATTCAGTTTTTAAAGGAAAGAGATAAAATAGAATAAATTTTTAAATTGCATTAAAAGTAAAGAGATAAGAACTAGAACAGTGATGGCGAACCTTTTAGAGACTGAGTGCCCAAACTGCAACCCAAAACCCATTTGTGCATCGTCGAGTGCCGGCTGGGTGTGTCCCATTGGGTGGGCATGGCTTTGGTGGTAATGGCAGACTGGGTGTGACTAAAAAATTCAATCAATCAATTCCAACTTTGCAAGATCTTTTTTTTTCCCCACGAGAAGTTGAAATTGACTGATTGAAACTTTTTTTTTTTGTACACGGTGGTGGAGGCCTAAAGCGAAAAGGTTTTATAAAACCCAGCTGAAGCCTAAGACTGGGGCGACAGCGTGCGTGCCTACAAAGAGAGCTCTGAGTGCTGCCTCTGGCACCCGTGCCATAAGTTCGCCACCACTGAACTAGAACAACCTAATGACTACACTGAGCAACTATTAACTCTTTGAAGGTAACTACTATAGTACAAAAGATAGAAACTATATCGCTCTGTGTGTGATGGGCATCTCTTTCTGCTCACATGGATAAAGAATCATTGGTGTATTCTGAGAATTTAGCCACTATGGGAAGTGCCCTTTTTCTAGATGTTGTTGGCTCATTATCAGTCCCATCAGTATCCTCAACAGCTAGTGAAAATTGCTTAAAGTTCTACTATAGTCATTATAGAATTATAATTTTATTCCTGAAGGGCCAAAAACCTGGTATAGAGAAAGCTGCCTTTTTTCCAGTGAACACTCAACACTGGTGAAGAAATTCTTTCTGTTCTATAGTTATAAAAGAAGCACAAGGACATTTTATGAACTTAAAAACACACTGAGATCAAAGCAGCTGCCTGGGAATATAGGAAGGGTGGGTTGGATGCCATCTTGACCAATTGTCATTTTTGTACAAAATCAGATTTGAGCAAATCCTCCAGAAAGTTACATGGAGGATGACATTTTCTCCTGTGTTTTCTACCCCATTATTTAGCAATTTTGCAAGTATTATCTTGTGCATCCCTTAGCAACTTTTAGCAACACCTCATGAACTTCATCTGGGCACCATAAAGAACATGTAACCACTGAAATAACACTTTGCTTTAAAAATGTCTGCCGCAAGAACAAGTTGGCAAGTCCACATTTTAAAACAATTAATTTAGTTCTAAAACAGTATTTTAAGAATGCTGAAAGCATTTTACAGAAAGAGAGATTTTGGCTATAATCATCTGGAGGACAGTGAATCAGGATAAAAATGGCCTAAATATCTGAATGGTGCAGATAAATGTACAATATAAAAGCCCTTAAGGTAATTCAATCTTTGAACCAAAGATAGCATTCATCAATTTATTATTTTCAGAACTGTGTGTGGAAACACATTTTTCCACTAGTTAATTTAGTTTCTCCTTAAGGCAAGTGCTAGGCTTAAACTGTACGCTTACCCAGTTTTTAAAGTTGCTACTGAAACAGCTTTGCTTGCATACAGCTAACTACTCTGCGCATACAATATTCAGATGCAGTGGCACTCACACACCCCCGATTTGCAGGAGCAAACAATCAGCTTTCCAGTACAATTTTGAATTCTCAATAACTTTCCCTCCAGGAGAGAGAAGGGGAAAGAAAACTAGAGAGAGAGAAAAGCCTCCACATAAGCAAAGTAAAGAATCCAACCACACAGAAAAACATTAAATAAACCATTTTTAAGGATAAAAAGTGGAGCAAATATATACAAGTTCATCTACTTTTTTTCAAATGCTTCTAAATTCTTCTTATGTTTTCTCTTTTTATGGATACTTAAAGGTATTTTGCTTTGAAGATGTATTTGACAATCTTTCTGCAATCCGAGCTCCTCCAGATGTTTTCTGACTTACAGTCCACACTGGCTGGAGGATCATGGAAATTAAGGATGCTCAATCCCATTTGGAGGCAGCACCAGGTTCTGAAGGAAGTCTTACACAGGCATAAAAATAGGACATACTGAAATGAATAGCAGTGAAGAATCTCAACTATGCTAGGATTTGGGTGAATAGCTCCCAGAGTTATTTGCTACAGTATTTTGCTAGATGTATTTGAATTGGGAATGCCACATCTCTTAGAGAAAAATTACATTAGGAAAAGCCATTTTTCTTCTCTGGGCTTTCATTATTTCCCTAACGAAATAACCTCACCGCTGCATTTGGATAGTCTTCAGCTCATTTAGCCAAAATGAGGGTTCAAAAAGGCTGATTTAGATAGTAAATCTTGAGCTAGATCTGCCACAACTGAAACATCCTGCCTAGATGATTCCATAATGAATAACATTAGATGCCAGCACTTTATAATTGTCAGTATCAGTAGTAATATTGTTATACTTTATTAACAATCAGCAATAAACCACTTGCCAAATTCTAAGAGAGTCTCTCCTCTCTTCCCAAAAACTTTCGAAATCTTACAAGATCTTGAAATCTTGCTATACTTCACGTGACTTGGGAAGCACATTTGAGCTGTCATGTCATCTTGCACGATGGCTCCAAGGGTTGGAGAAAGTTGCCAGTCAGTAGACAAGTGATTGCCAGAGCCTGAGGTTGGCACTGGGCAGCTTTATCCAGGACCAGGTCATTGTGATCAGGTTTGAGAATTAGGAATTTTCCATGTATCGTGTACTTTTTTTACATTTAATCAAACAAGAGGAAATTATCTTCCTTTTAGTACTTGATGACTGATCTAATATCTGGAGAGGAAGCTTTAAGGACATAGAGTTAGACTGGGTTATGGCTCAACTTTAGATTAGCTTATTGGTTCAAGCACTAAGCACTTCAACTTTGATAAAAAATATTGTCACTATAAATAGGAAGATGAAAACCCCAAAGTGATCACTATCTGTTCACATAATTAACTTCTAGTTTCCTCCCTTTTAGATCCATGTAGAATAATTTTTGAAGCTGCATACATTATAGTGCATATAACTCCCACATTGCCATTTAGGTGTCCTTTTACGTTCTGGAATATGTTTCATTACAAAATCTGTTAATATTTGTTAACAAGAAGTACCTATTTTACTTAGATTCTCTGGAACAGAAGAAATGTTTCAGATGTGTTGCTGTTTCCTGAGAAGTGTTAAAAGAGTTTAATTACCTAATTGAAAAAAGTTTTCCCCCTGCTTATTTTTATATTTAGCTTCACTAGCATCCATGTGTATGCTAAGTAGTAAAACAATAGAAGTTGATGTCAGGCTCCAATCTTTAGGAACTTGAACAAATAATGCCAAAAAAATATTCCAGCCATGTTAATTTTTTCTGCAATCTCCTTTCTTAACTAACTATATGCACATCGGCAGGGGAGGGGGTAATTAAATTATATTCTTCTTAACAGAATGCATGCTTAATAATAAGAAGCCACTTCATATATCCAAGATATTGATCATCAAAATTCATCCATCCAAAATATTTTCAGTGCCCAAATGCAGCCTGAGTTTTTTTTTTAATGTTGATGTCCCATGTCTTAATCTATTAAGCTTCTAGTGTTGCCTTTTCTCTTTCTTCTTGTGTCCTAATAAAAAGCTGCAGAAGGAAAACACCCAGGTAGCAGTGCCCTTTCCCCAGATTATGCCCTCGAGATGTGTGAAAATTCAACTCATGTAGCAGTCCAACTAGTATAACCAATGTGAAACATATCTGGAAAGTATGTAAGTTGAGGAAATCTGCATTATTAAATGAACCTTTTCCTTTTGCAGCTTTTTGAAGAAATGATAGGTTAACAATCTTAACCAAATAAAAACCCATTTCCCTTTCTTACAGTAACCAGCACTGTTGATAAGAAACAGGCTAATAGCAAGCAGTCCTTAAAAGTAAAGACTATCTCGTGCTAGATGCGCCATTGCTGCTAGACATGATCAATTTTATTTTAACATAATGATATATTTGTGAAAAATCTGTTCTACCATATGGATGGTAGGTACAAAGAAAACAAACCCATCACCTTGCTAGACATCACAATAAGTAATGAGAGACACTAGCTTCTGAGCTTCAGCATTGTCAGAAATAAGCAGTAATCAACAACAGATTTTAATAATTTAACTACTGCTGTTGGATTCCTGACAAAGAGAAAGATATTGGAAATGAGGCCCTGGTGTTTTTTTTTTTTTAGCCACATTCCTTGTCTTCTTCATCTCTGCTCTCATGTAACTTCACAGTAAACTATTTGTGCTCCAAGAGGCTGATCATTCAGCCAATAATTCTCTGGCCAGGAGTGCAGTGGGGAAGCTGGGATTCAAACTGCAGCATCACTGCAAAACCAAGGGCAAGCATTTCATCTGCTTCCTGCCTCTTTCCTTCTACCCCAATCCTGCCTTTACATCATTAAAGGTATTTATAAACAATTGAGAGAAATCTGACTATTCTTTTCATAGGCTGTAGCTTAATTTTTCTGACATAGCCCTTCAATGAGCAAGTCAAACTCCCCCAATGGGACAGTTTGATGTTAAAGTGCATTTATCATCTTAAATAAATGTCGCCTTGAATCAGGCTTCTATTGTCCTTCTGAACAGAATGCTTTCCTACCAGAGAACAAATGATAAGTACCTTTTACATAGCAGTGTTGTCTGCATCTATTTTCAGTTTCTTGAGAAGAAATAATAAGATTAAATTATCATACGTTTCAGCTTCCTCTTGTCTCTTTGCAAGCCTAAAGCTGGTTACGTTTTGCTGGTTTTTGCAATCCTGTGCAATATGTGCCCCTTGAAAAGAAGAGCTCTCCTGCAATCCTAACCTGAAGATGCAGCAGAGCAAAGAAAGTGGGGTTCTCACTCTGGTATATCATATCTCACCAGAAAAAAGGAGAGGGGAAAGAAAAGACCTCCCCCGCCCCAAACTCAGTACTTGTTGATTCCAAAGATACGGACACCATGCAGCTGGGGCAACTTGGGGATCAAGACGCTCATCAAAGAGATGGTGTTGATGATGAAATGTACCCGGTCATATTTTGTGTAGAAACTGGTAAAAAAATAACTGAAAAGGAAAGTAAAGGAGTTTCAGTTTTACAATAGTGCTTAAAATACTTCAAAACATTTGTCTCTTTCCTACACAACTGGATGATACCAAAGGGGAAGAAATGCCTGGGTCTGCAATCTGATAGATGGTGACAAAAACAAAACAAAACAGGAGTCTGGTACCATCTTTTCCAACTAACACGTTTTATTAAATTGTATAAGATTTGATGAGCTTTTATCAGATGAAATGAGTTGCAGCTCATCAAACTTCATTATGCTTTTTAATAAATGTGCTAATCTGATATAAGGACTCTATTTATTAAAGGTAATCCTTGTTTAGAGACTGTCTTCTATAGTGACCATTTGCATTACGATGGTGGTGAAGAAATAATTTTCAGATCAATCCTCACATTTACAATCTTTGCAGGTCTATAAAGGAAAGCTGAAGTAAGATTGTAGTGACCAAATTGCCAATCCCAATTGTGCTAATTAAATAAAGATTACCTGTACTTCAATCATTTACAATGATTTTTGTAAATTCCAACCAAGATAGAGGAACGCTACAGCATTATAAAGTGCTCCAATAAAAAGGCCAAATAAAGATGATGTCTCAGAGTTATATGCAATTACAGGCCTATCCTGTCTACTGTGATCTTTTTAAAGAGTTGGTAGAAAAAAGAGCAATCCTACATGGTTATTGATTCTGTGTGGCTCCTGGCTAATCCTTTCCACTAGAAGGACTGAAGAAAAGCAGCAAAACAAAGTGTGCCAAAAATGTGTGCCAAAAAATTGCTGCTTGTTTTGTAATAGCTTCACTGATTCCTTCCAGTTTTGCAACCCAATCTTTCATTGTCATCTGAGCATAGAAATTGGGGCAAGAAGAAAATAGGGATTCTGAACATTTGGAAAGAACTAATGTACAAAATTGGCTACCACAAGATGGGATGAAGATGCCTACTTGAGACAAGTATTAAAAAGGGCTAGATAAACCTGAGGAAGAGAAGTTGATAAATGCTGTTGATGAACTCAGGGAAGAGACAATGTCCTCATGACTTGCCATTGGTTTCCAAATTGTCATCAGATTGGGCAATACAAAAAGCAATAATTGGTTTTCCACATCCCACTATGCTTTCATGTGGGTATTTTTGTCATTAGTGTCTTGTGCAAACCAGCGAACTATGGCTCATTAAATAAAATGTATTTAAGCATGCAAGCATGAATGCAATACATATATTGCTTCAATAAAGGAAACAGATTGCTGGATAGATAAGCCTTGATCTAATCCAGCAGGACTCTTATTTTCTTAGGCTAGATGATTTAAACTAAGGCTGTGAGCCAGGAGTTAGGAATTTGTAATATCCCCCTCCCCCATCTGCTGACCTACAACTCTTGGCAAAAGTTTCATCAGCAAGGCCAACAGAGAGGGAGGCTGGAAGATGTGGTTCCAGACTGCTCTATACCTCCCATAAACTATGAGAGATCTATGACTTAACCCATCTTGTTCTCAATGGTCTTCCATGTAACAATGCTTACATCCCCCCATTTCAGTGCAAATTGCAATACTCCCTGTATGCTGAAATTGAAAAATAGCGATAGAAGAGGATTTCCAACCACCGTCTCTTTGGTACTTACAGTACAATTGGTGTGATAGTCAAGAACTTGCGAGAAGCTGTGAGCTGCACTCCGTAGTCCATCTGTTCCCAGTGAGTGAGCAGCCGGGCCTTCCCCTGATCGGGAGTCTCAAATGGTGTTCCTTTCACAGTGTGTAAGAAAATGTACATACACTGTAAGAAAACAAAGGCTTGTTAGTTAGCAGGATTTTTTAGCTTGCTTGGCTGCATATGTTCTTTCAGACAGCAGTTTAAGTGATGAGAAAGGTGAAAATGATCTACAGTACAATATTCTTGCAATGGAAGTGACACAATAAGGGAAAGTGCTGGGGTACAGTTGAAAACTTCTGTTTCAATAAGAATTAGTGCATAATACTAGAAAATAGGATAGGCCAGTGATGGCGAACCTTTTAGAGACCGAGTGCCCAAACTGCAACTCAAAACCCACTAATGTACCGTCTGGTGCCGGGTGGGCGTGGCCCATTGGGTGGGCGTGGCTGTGGTGGTAACGGCAGACTGGGTGGGACTAAAAAGTTCAATCAATCAATTCCAACTTTGCGAGATCTTTTTTTTTTCCGTGAGAAGTTGAAATTGATTGATTGATCGAACCTTTGGGGTTTTTTTTGCACACGGCGGCGGAGGCCTAAAGTGAAAAGGTTTTATAAAACCCAGCTGAAGACCTAGGACTGGGGCGACAGCATGCGTGCCCACAGAGAGGGCTCTGAGTGCCGCCTCTGGCACCCGTGCCATAGGTTCGCCACCACTGGGATAGGCTTAATCTCATCTCAGGTTCCTAAGTTACTGACATAATGAGAAGCTATGATTTTTTTTAGTGATTGTTTCACTGCTAAAAATTGCAGCTATTTCTTAGACAGTACTACAGTATGGGTGGTCCTTGAATCCATTCATTTAACAACCATTTGAATTTACAATAATTTAAGTAAGTCCTTGCATTTATGACCGCAGCAGCTTTTCCACAGTCACATGAACAAAATTTGGGCACTTGGTAACCAGCGTATGTTTATAATAGTTGCCGTATTTTGGGATCATGTGATTGCCATCTGCAACTTTCCAAGCTGGCTTCTGACAAGCAAAGTAATTGGGCAAGCTAGATTTGTTTAACGACTGTTTGATTCATTTAATAAAAGCTTGTAAAAGCAGATACTTAACAACTGCCTTGCCTAGCAATGGAAATTCTGTTGTGTATGTAAGCGAAATACCACCCATATAAGCAACAGTTACATTTCAAGAGCTTTCTGTTTACCAATACCTTATTAAAATAAGCTAATTAGACTAAGAAGGTATAGTTGGCCAAGTTTGCTAATTGTAAAGGTTTGAGAGGATAAAGTGACAGAGATACTTAATAGTCTGGAAAATGGTATGATGAAAGCTTACCACTGAGATGATTAACATCTCATCTCTCCTAGGCCGATGTTGATGTGTGAAATATTTAGTTATTTGAATTATTTATTCAATTTATATGGCTGCCCATCCCAAACAAGTGACTCTGGAGGACAATCAGTTAAAATCAATTAAAAATATATCTTCTGTAGCTTGAGAAAAATCTGAAAAATCTGTTCTAGAACCTAAAAATCAGATGATTAACAAACTATACTGAACTTGTACTCATTATATTGTAAATATATATATATTATATTGTGTATGTGTGTGTGTGTATACACAATACATTATATTGCCATAACAAAATAAATTGAACTGATATGGTAAGGTTTCTTCAACAATGTGTTATCAGGGTTCACTGTTATCAGTTTTGTTAATAACTAAGTACAAGTAGTCTTCGTTTAGTGGCTGCCTTGTTTAGCAGCCATTCATCATGATGAGAAAGTACCTTTATGACCAATCTTCATGTTTATGATCTTTGCAGGCTGTAAACTAAAGAAAAATGGAGTAAGATCATAACACACTCAGTTTCAATTACTGACCACTTTGTTTAATTACGGAGTTGAGGGTCCCAATTAGGTCCCCATGAAACAAATTTCAAAAGCTGCAAGACTTTCACTATCTAACAAAATGAAATTCAATGATGAAAAAAGTAAGGTTCTACATTTAGGCAAGAAAAACCAAATGTACAGGTATAGTATAGGGGGTAGCTTGCTCAATAGTAGTAACTGTGAGAGGGATCTCGGAGTCTAGTGGACAATCACTTAAATATGAGCCAGCAGTGTGCTGCAGCTGCCGAAAAAGCCAACACAGTGCTAGGCTGCATTAACAGAGGGATAGAATCAAGATCACATGAAGTATTAATACCACTTTACAATGCCTTGGTAAGGCCACACTTGGAATACTGCATCCAGTTTTGGTCACCATGATATAAAAAAGATGTTGAGATTCTAGAAAGAGTACAGAGAAGAGCAACAAAGATGATTAGGGGAATGGAGGCTAAAACATATAAGGAACGGTTGCTGGAATTGGGTATGTCTAATTTAATGAAGAGAAGGATTAGGGGTGACATGATAGCAGTATTCCAATATCTCAGGGGCTGCCATAAAGAAGAGGGAGTCAAGCTATTCTCCAAAGCGCCTGAGGGCAGGACAAGAAGCAACGGATGGAAAGGGCATCGTTGGGGCGACCCCAACGATGCCCTTGACGTGATGACCCGGTGTCTGGAGGCCGTGAGAGTCTGGATGGGGAGGAACAGACTCAGGCTCAACCCGTCCAAGACCGAGTGGCTGTGGTTACCGGCGTCTCGGCATAGTCAGCTGAGTCCATCGCTGACTATAGGGGGTGAAACTTTGGCCCCCTCGGAGAGGGTACGCAACTTGGGCGTCCTCCTGGATTCGCAGCTGACGCTGGATGACCAGTTGTCGGCCGTGACCAGGGGGGCGTTTTATCAGGTACGCCTGATTCACCAGTTGCGGCCTTTTCTGGACCGGGACGCCCTACGCACGGTCACTCATGCACTTGTCACCTCCCGCCTGGACTACT